TATATATATATATATATATATATATATATATATATATATATCGGTTCTGCGGTTCTACGGCAGAACGCACTAGCACTGATGGCAGAGTTGTCAGTGAACAAGATAGTATGTCAGGTTAAGTGGTTCTCAACTCCTAGAAGCGTTTCAGATACGTTATAGGTGCAGTTAAAGACTTAAGGAGGCCCACACGAGATCGGAGAAGTTTTCAAGGAAGGACTAAATTTTTGAGAGGTTCAGAAGAGGCAAAGGAGGAACGATCGCGCCTTCTCGGGTACGAGTTTTAAAATCTAGTTGTAATTTTCTTCAGGCCTGGAACATAATCTTTTAAAAGAGCAAGCCCAACAATAATTGCTCCATAGAAAAGGGGGTTATAATCCTGTTCCATGCCACTAAATATAGGGGAAAATCTAGTGCATGTTTTCCCATCTCCTCTTATAATTGAGAAACCCTGCAGAATGCTGCAAGGAACTGGAGTTCTCATAGTGAAAAGCCAGTTGCTCTGTCTTCTGGGGAGGTGATCAGATTTCCGTTCACCAGCAACCTGGGGCGTTCGGAGGGGGAAGCCGTCCTCCAATTTGACGGACTTTTCCACATACACCACTTTAGGAGTACGGCAAGAGAAGAATGAAGTCGTAGGCTTCCGCGGCCAGAGTCATGTGCGTGATCTGGGCTGTCCGGGTGACGCCTCGTCGAATGCTGTGTTGCAGACGTTTCGACCATCCTATCGTGATCTTCTTCAGGGCTGGTATACGAATGAAGACCACGACAGGATGGTCGACACGTCGGCAACATAGCCTTCGACACGGCATCACCCGGACAGCCCAGTTCACGGGCAAGAGAAGAAAGATATGCTCCCCAAGACGTCGTTTTGCTTTCGCCTATGACCATTCTGGCCCTGGCTCAACAGCTCTTGTACTCGATTAAGTTTTCAATTGTAGGGAACCTATTTAGCCCAGACAACGCTCATTTCCGCTCACGAACCGCGGTGGTGCAGTTATCGTTCCATCAAGATACGTAGATAAGTAGGTCGACGTGGTCGGCCCGTCGTTCTCGGTATGGCGGCGTTTGAGACATCGAGAACGGTGAAGTGAGCAGCCATACAATTAATGCCGTTGGGGCACTGTCCCAGTGTGTGCAATTCTTCGTCTTATTTGTCCCAATCAACAAGCGAATCGATAGGGGAAAAGGCGTTCTACGTCGCGGAGAAATGAGTAGCATGGCCAGCCATATTTAGAAGAGTCCAGTTGAATGTCTATATTTTCGAGTAAGATACCTCTCTGGCAAGACCTTGCAGCACCCCCAAACGGTACTATGAGCATTGAAGAGTGAAAATGGTTCGCACGTCTCTTTACTTGGACGCCAGAGTGTCTCTGCCAAATGTCTTGCCTGTTCCGAGAAGAGAGAAGGAATGGTCAGGAAGATGTGTTTCCTGCCGGCAGATAAAAACGGTTCTATATCGAGGAATTATCAACTTCAATTTGTCTCAAGAGTAAGAAAGCCATTGACATTCGACTGGAGAGTCCTGATTTGTATGTGATAATTTTTTCTTTCTTCTAGAGGGATTACATGTTGGGTTTCTTTTTCGTCTGTGGAAATGCGATGCATGAGCTCGTATGAGGCTCTTCGTCCTCCGCAGGGTCGTCTTGACTGCTGCTCGATAGGATCACATGTGTAGGGGTACCTTCACGATATTTTGATACAGGCGACTGGGATCTAGAAATAGGTTCTTTCTGTCTCGTTTTTCCATGTTCATATCTTTAGGTGTTTGTTGACACATTTGGAGATGTCTTTTTTCTTGTTTCAGATGGTAAAGTGCATTTGGTGTCAGCACATCCGCAGACAATATCTTCCAGGGACACCTGACAGGTAAAGTCGTGAACAGAGGTTGGTTGTATCTGTACTAGGTTGGTAACTCGAGGAGAATTTTGACATCTTCAAGTTGCTAGACTGCAAAACTCCTGAAGAGGAGTCACCTGATTCAGGGAATGACACCCCAGTGATTCTGATTTTCTGTATCTCTTTCTTTTTGAAAGATTGGGCACTCGTTTTAATTAGATGGTCTCCCATACAGGTGACACATTTGGAACCAGTTTCGTCTCGAAGTTATGAAATTCTTTAGAGAAAATCACATATACTGCTCATGCAACATGGTGGCTCATGCAACAAGCTGGGTATGGCCGAACCACTGGCACTTAATGCAGCGCAGAGGGTTTGGACATATTGCCGCACACCAGATTGTCGAGGCCACGTGACATCTCCGGATGAGGTGACCGGGCAAATGAGGTGACCGGGCAAATGAGGGTCAGCGTTATGGTGAGGGTGAGTACCCCTTCAAAATTATCATTATTGACTAGATTTATATTATAAAACATCGTCCGTCACTCCCTGAGTCGGGAAGGTTTTCAAGTCTTCCTCGGTGTCGATGGCAAAATCGTCGCGATTTACTACACTTACACAGGTTTAAGGCAGGGTGAGTCGACACTTGAACCTAGAGCCGGGTATTTCCTTCACTTTCGGAACTCAAACTCAACTCAACCGTCAATTGGATCGTCTGACACACTCGAAACGAATGGTTCCACTGCGCAAGAGATTATGCTCTTCATTGTTTTCCCCTCTTCGCTCAATAATATCACAAGAAAGCAGGGATTTGATAGCTTGTCGGTTTCTTTGCAGAAGAAACGTTCTAGGTCTACATTTCTTTAATTTAATCTTATCTTCCATTAGGAAGAAGGCGGGGGAGGGGAGTTCGAATCTATGAAAAGTGATTCCAATTCGCCAATCCACCCATCATGGAGTTGAACCGGGGGACACTCCTCAAGTGTGCCAGGGTTGCCAAGGGGATACGACAGGGAGTGACGGAGTGACAAGGCTTCTTTCCCGTCGCACACTCGCAGGGGGATCGGGAGTGGGTTGGCTCCCAACTGCCCCTCTAGAAGAGTTCGGGATGGAAGAGAGTGTGTGGGGACCTACCAGGTGCAGAGACCTCTCCTCAAGAAAAAACGGTGATAAAAGAATGTAGGTGACATAGGAAATGAAAAGCAAGAAGATGAAAGAGGGAGAAAGGAACACATGAGACAACTCAACATCCCCCCTGAAGGTCATGGACCAACCCACCTCAATGGGTTCAATTAACCCAACCTGTCAGGAGTGCCTGTAAAATACCTTGATTTCATTACAAAAATAATATTATGTAATACATTATTACAGGTAAATAATTGGAAAAATGTTCATCACAAACTATCACACCAAAAACTGAATATGCAAGAAAGAGATGAGAAAAACTAATACACATACTTTCCTTGTGTTGCATGTGTGTGTGAGAGAGGAGAGAGGGAGGATAGAGAGGATAGAGAGGAGAGAGAGGAGAGAGAGAGGAGAGAGGGAGGATAGAGAGGATAGAGAGGAGAGAGAGGAGAGAGAGAGGAGAGAGAGAGGAGAGAGAGAGAGAGAGAGAGAGAGAGAGAGAGAGAGAGAAATATCTTAAGCAGAGAGCAATTAATAACTTGGCCTATGTGCCACTTATCTTTCAAGCTAGTGTTTCATTCTCAAATTCCATACATGAAGCATAAAATTCTTATTTTAATTACCCCCTCTCCCATGGTATGCATGCTTCTTTGCAGATATTGTAACAGGTTACATCCAGTCAAATGTAAACACAAAGTGACCTTCACTTACGGGCTAACAATCACTGTAACAATAAGAGTCATCAAAATAAACTTACCACAAATAACATCATGTCTCCAGTCAGGGAAATCCATGACTAATGTTTGCAAACTTTGATATGCAAGCCCTCGCAATTCTTCATCCATATGAACAGTAAGACGAGACAACAAATCTACTAATTCAGCACCAGTGATACCATCGGGTATGAGACGTGGAACAGCAGCTACACATGTTCGGAACAAGTCAATACGTGGTTTACGTTCTCCAGTAATCATTTCATCAGGTTCCTATATGAGAAATACAGTTAATTAAATTCAATTTCATTATCTTAGTGTTTTGAAAGGCATTATAAGGGAACTATTAGGAGGGCTGAAAGGGTCATAAGAGCACAAGTATTGATGCAAATGTATGTCTATATGTCTATCTTTACATGAACACAAAAGAATGAAAAAATTCTTGAATTACTTGAAGGGTTGAAAATAAGACTTTCTTATTGCAAATCAATTACTGGTAAAATACCTTTTAAGGTCGGACAGAATTCAACTATATTTTTGACACAGCATAAGCACCATTTGGCATAATTCATGTAGTTCACTTCATGTATAGAAATGTTTATTATTACAGTGAAGATGAAATGTACATTTTTTATCACATATCTATTAAAGGGTATCTAATGTTACTAACCCCCACTGGGCAAGGTGCTTTTGTGACACATCAGGGCAAGCAGTGTCCATCAGACACTGCTATACAATCTTCGTATTCCACTATTCTCTTCTTGAACTTTTGAACATGTGTTGTATTAATTGTTGTAGGGTTTGAGTATAATGATGGATAATGAATAATTAATCAAAATAATGTCTTATTTATCGCGAAAACACACAAGAAGTGATATTGGAGTACAGCACTTTTTAACAAGAGCACATTGAGTAAGTTTACAGTAAGTTTAAATTTTTCTTCTCTATGAATTAATATATTTTGATTAAAATAGATCATTCTTCACACTTCTTTCAAAAACTGGTTACATCATTGTGCTCATTGCTAACTGACTGGTGACATTTGCTGCAACATCGTTTCTGAGTGCGACCTCACACACTGAGACACGTGCCATCCCTTTTCCTCCCTGATGAGCACGGTGTAGAACTACTCAGCTTTTATTAAGAAATTAGGGGCCGCTTTTAAGAAAATGTGGTTTAAGCATTTAGAGGTTTAGCATTTTTAGCCAACAAAATGGCATCAATGTCATTTGATACTGTGCATCAACACTTTCCATAAAAAAAGTTTCCAAAAAATAATTTCCAATCGTTTTTGAGAAAATCGCGTTTGAGCATTTCTGAAAATGCAGAATTTTAATCTCATTTTCACAGAGAAGTTTTGAGTTTCCGAGAAACTTTAGGAGATATCATATGAAGCACTTGCACTTGCAAATGCAATAATGTATACAAATTACTGCTAACATATATTTTAACAACATGAGTTATGTGTAATTTTCAAAAAACAAAAGAATACAGCAAAATGGTAATTATGACATCTGATACAGAGCATATAGCATTATTCGTTCAAAACGTTAAAAGAAAAAATTTGGAGTAGTTTTTCAGAAAATATTGTTTTAATATTACCCATATTTAACAAAAAATTACTTAGAATTTCAAAATATGTACATAATAATTTAAAGACTGACTGTGGAGAGCAAATTTCATTTGAAGGAAAGATCGCTATCTTAAATATTGTAATTACAGAACGACGCTGAAAAAATTTCAAACTTCCGCTATTTTCGAAAATTTAGGGTCAACAGTGAAAACTAAACTGATGCTATCTTAATAGGTGTATATCACTCTATTCTTACAAGAAATTAAATGAATAAATTTGGAGCAATTTTTTAGACAATTTTGAAAATGTCCCAGGAGCTTCATGTACAGTCCTCTCTAGGCTCAATGCATTAGACGTTGCAAATGTAGAGTAAATTTCCATGTACAAAATCGGTAGTGTGAAAGAGACGCAAAGAGATTCTCAATATCACAATCAAGACTCAACAACTGAATGCTGCTCCTTCTTCAAGACACATTATGGGCACGAATCTAGGAAAAAAGCGGATCCTACAACTAAGAAGCATTTTGGCTTCATCTAAAGTTGATACTGCTGATGAACTTGTGGAAACAGTGGAACATATTTACGAATTCTTGGAAGAGGACCTATTCTAAGCAATTAAGAACATAGAAAACTATAAAATAAAAATTAAAAGGAATGTTTGGATTAAGAAATTATCAGAATTACATTCTCATCTAGCAAAGACTATTAATAATATTTTAGAAAACCTAAAGGAACTCCCAGAATGGCTCGCATGCAGCATCTTGTATTTGCTACCCAAAATGGGAGACAGTTCATTGGCAAAGAACTCCAGGCCAATCACATCTCTGCTGGTAATGTATAAAGTTGTAACTGCAGGCATAGCTACAAAATGCACCTAGAGAAACCTAGAGAAGAACCATCTGTTGCCATTTGAACAGAAAAGATATTGTAAAGGTTCCTATGGCTGTCAGAAAATCTTACTACTAAATTAAATTTATAATGAATGATGTAAGAAAACAAAAACTTAATTTAAGCATGGCTTGGATTGACTACCAAAAGGCCTTTGACAGTGTACCACACAAATGGATTTTAAAAACCCAGGAAATCTATTGATTTCATACCAGACTTATTAAGTTTTGCCAGGCTAGTATGAAGTGTAGCTAGCACCAAGTTACTAACACACAGCGGAAAGGAAGTAGAGGAAACAAGAAGAACTCAGATTAACAGGATAATTTTTCAAGATTTGCTATTGCCTCTGCTATTTTGTATTACTTTAATCCCACTACCTAGACAGACGCACACTGACTTTGGTTACAAGATCCGTTGTGATGAAACACCAGTGACACATTAGTTTTACATGGACGATTTTAAAAGTGTTTGCTAAATGCTGTCTGTTGTGAATGATTTTAGCAATGACATCTGCATGAAGTTTGGTCAAGTGAGCAAAAATCAATTAAAGGGGCAAAATGACATCAGAGACCATTTATGTTGATCTGCTCACTGTGATTCATGATAAGGGACAAGGCAAAACAAACGTCTGGGCATTGAAGAATATGAGAACATATTGAACGACACAATTAAAGAAAGAATACGCAAGGAATATTACTGAAGAGTGAGATTTGTCCTACTGTCCGCTCTGAACTCCAGGAATAAAATATCTGCAAGAGGTAGTTTGCCATTGCCTGTAGCTGAGAACAGTTTTGGATTAGTGGAGTGGACTGAGCGAGAAATTCAAATCATGGATCAAAAATCCAGAAAACTGCTTACAATACATCGTGTTGTCCACCCTCCAGCTGATGTACATAGACTTCATGTGTCACAAGGAGGAAGAGGCCTCAAACAAATTGAAGCCTCCTGGCACAATGCAATAGTGGGGATGGGAAAGTATGTAGTCAGTCATCAAGATGACCCATTAATGAGGCATTAAATCTGACCAAAGAATGGGAAATGCATTGTAAGTGAAGCAAGAAGAATATGCAAGACATGAAGAATAACACAGATACTGAACTTCCGATGCTACTTATCATGAAACGTGAGACAAAAAGTGTTGAAGAAATCATGGAGAGGCAAACCACTCCATGGCCAATATCTAAGAAGAATGGACAAGGCATTAAATCATCAATGAAGATCAATCATTACGCAGCTTAAAAGAAGAAGAAAGAAGCCAGAATCAGAAGCAGTTGTAAGAGCTGCCGAAGATCACATGTTGAGAACACACTATGTTAAAGCAGCTCCCAAAATTTCTCAAGATGATAAATGTTGAATTTGCCACAAACAAATAGAAATCATTGATCATATTGTCTCAGCTAGTCCAATTCTAGCAAAGTCCGAATACTTGAACAGACACAACAGGGTGTGTAATTACCTCCACTGGCAGATCTGTACCGCCTTCGAAGTTCCAAACACATGCTCCAAGAGGTACAAACACTCCCCAAAACCAGTGATGTCAGTTGGACTGTGAACAACACTGTACAACCAAAAACTCCAAACTCATTGCACGATAGTGGCAAATGAACTGCATATTGTTATCCGAAACATGGAAAAAATTTTGTGTCTAATTGTAGATGTGCTAGTGCTGTGCAATCAAAACATCTTAACCAAGCAGGCAGAGCAACGTCTTAAATGCAAGAGTTTGCAAATCAAGATCAGCCAAATGTGGAGCATGAAAGTACAGGTCATTCCGATACTTATCATGGCTCTGTCATTTTACGTTAGTTTCTTTCCATAAAGTTAATAACAATATTCTTATTAGAACAAAAACAGGACAGAGAAAAGACCAAAGGTTTTAAAATTCAATATAAGATCCAATTTCATTTTGCTTTCACAACAAAACACTTCTTGACTGTTCCAACTCTTACTTCACCAACGCTATGCAAGTCCATAACAGCACTCACATAAATCCTGATATTTATAACTTATCAGGGCCTAGAAGTCCCAAATCTCCCTGAACATTGAACACTTGCCTTGAAAAGCAATGCTTTATTTCAGGCCCTTACCCAAAGGTACAAATAATGTGCCTCCCAACCCAACCAGTAGATTTTCTGCAGCAAAGCACAAAATTAAGAGAACCGATGAGATATGGGCTTCATTCCCTATTCTAATTATTTCCATGTACTAAAACTAAACTATCATAATTATAATTAACATTTGTTTGTTGGCAACTTATCATTTCATAACACTGCTACATAATTAGGCATTACTGACTAGTAATTTCATTAAACATTCCACATTTTATCTTGGTAAGATGGAATAAGCCCTGATTATATCTAAATTGCAAGAATACTAGATATTAGCTTGTTGAAATCAAACACATCTCAATGAATTAAAATTTTTAAACAATTTAATTAATAATGAGATTGACTGTATTCAACCTTCACTCGAAACTACTTCTGAAAGTTCCAAGGATGAGTCAACGAGATACAGAATGTGACAATTTTTTTTCGTTACAGTTGCAAAAACCAATCAATTTTGTCATGCGCCTTTACAGAGGATGTGTAAACTAACTAATAACCTAAACATCGAATTCTACTCAAATGGGAAATGTATAAATCAAATTAAAAGTGCCAAGCTAAATGATTACTCTTGAGTGTTGATGTCAACGTGACATTGTGTGTGAACAAACATGAAGAATACATTGATTATGTAAAATTGTATGTATTTCTAAGGATGATTGCCTTTCCAAATAAATAAATAAATTAATTAATTAATTACAGTACTGTTGACACCATTTTTTAGTCTCTTCTGCAGAGGGACTGAACCCTGAAATCTGCCCTATACTATTGGTGTACCATTGATCAGAGATTATCATTGCTCCTAGTCTATCTATTAATAACAATTCCACAGCAATAAATCATTAACATAATTAAAAGAACCACATGCAATGCTTTGTATCGAAAATATTAGTGTATTGCATTTGTTGAAATAATATATTTAATAAGTTTTTACTTAACTTACACAGCAACATATCAGTTATAAAAAAATGGATAAGAGGAAGCCAAAACAGAACATCAAAACAGACTCCCAAGAAACACATGATTATGAGCATGATTTACCTTGTTTACATTTTGTGTACTTGTCATCATCAAGGGGCGCCCATAATGAACATCCAAAGCTCGTAAAATATCCACAAAGACTCGACGAACATGAGGAAAATAAGATGACATGCCAATACTACGAGCGGTATCCTCTGTCAACATCTATAAGAAATACACAAAAATTAATTACAGACATACAAACACTTTAAACAGTACGCTTTGCAAAAAGTAAAGAACTAAAATGTTTCAAACCTTATTGAGGAAGGTCTTTTTAACACGCAAAGTATTTCCTGAAGGCAATACTCCCATTGTACGAGGCATAGGTGGTTCTCCTTCTTTCTGCTGAAGGCTGTCAGCTACAACAAGGAATGCCCTTAACCCTATACTCATTCTCTCAGGAGTCAAAATAATTTTTATGGGCCTCCCAACAGATAATAGATCAAACACAATTTCTCGCATTGCAAAATCTAATCGTTCCTAAAACAATAAAATAAAATAAGAATTACTTACATGCACACAAGTCAATACAAAATAGTTTGTTATGATGATCCATACCAAAAATTACATAAGAACAGAAGAGTTAATAGGCATACAGTTTAAATACTGTTGAATTAATTTCACACAATAAAATTAATAAAATAATTTTTAACATACCTGAGCAATAAATTGGATTATTTTAACAAAAATATTCAATGGAGTATCACGTGGAACAACAGCTTTAGAGCCTTTAGGAAAGAGAGAATTTACAATGCTCTGTAAACGTGATTGCGTAGCAGAATTACTCTCACATTTGATTCTTATCATATACACCCAAAGAAGGCGGTACAAAGATTCTGCAACAAACAACAAACTTTGAAGAAAATTACAATTGAAAAATGAGGAATATGAAAAAATAAGTTTTTTTATTATGCTTATTAGATTTTCTTTTTAAAAATATTGTCCAGGGACTGCAGTTTGAAAAAACAGAATATTTTTCATAGTTATGGAGAAAACAAAAGAAAGAACAGAAGGAAAAGAGAGTAGAGAATCATATCATCATAATTATCATTAATTTTTTTTTTAGAAAGTAGGAATCAGATTACAGAGAAGTCATTGAAATTACACATTTTGTAAAGAAAAGGTTTATTTGCATGTTCAAATGATTTTACAATCTGATCACACGCTAAAGACACCAAGCAATATATTGTACGATGGTGCTTGAATTCTGAACATCTGCACCTTTGCAACATTGCTCGAAGTAGTGGCAGAGATTTAAACTGAATGAACAGTTTTCTTTCTCACCTCACATCACCTTACACTTTTCAAAAGAAAAAACTGATTGCCGAGCATTGGTAATAAAGCAGTAAATAAATCTTGTTCCTATATATAGAAAATTAATTAATTTAAAATGTGTAGCCAGAATCCAGGTTTTGTGAGTCCTCGATACCAAAAAATTGATTGACGGCAAAACATCTCTGTCCATCTGTGGTCAAAATGGTCCATCTGTGGTAAAGCTTAAAACCGTTCAGTTGATTTTCTCCAAAAGTTATATTCCTTGGTGAATTTAAAAAACTGAAGGCCGAGTTTGAAACGGATATTTTTATTTTGGGTGTAATTTACACTTTTATGTATCATGAAATGTGAAACATCACCAATCATTTATGTGGGTGAAAAGGGGAAGAATGAGTAAGAATAGGAAGTAATGGTGTTTTTGGCAAATTTGCAAGGAAAAGGTAGAAACCATTGATCACAATTAATGTTGGTCCATTTCTAGCGAAGTTGGAACATCTGAAAAGACTGAAAAGTTTCCTTCATAGATAGATTTATGATGCCCTAACAGTTCCAACAATATGGTCCAATGGTACAAACATTCTCCAAAATAGATGACATCTGTTGAACTTTGTCTAATATTGCACAACCAACAAATGATCATTCAATAGCAGCAATCAAATCTAATGGTATTGACTAGGATTTGAAGAAAAAACTGTGTTTACTTGTAGATGCTGCTGTGCCACATGATTAGAAAATCGTAACCAAGCAGGTGAGAAACACCTTATTAACCTTAACACGTTTAGAAAAAAAGATCAGCTTCGCATGGACCCTAAAAATCAAGGTTGTTTCAATAGTTATTGGAGTTCTGGTTTTTGTTCTGCAAGTGTATTAAATACTTTAATAACTTGTCCAAATTCTAAGGTCATTCAAAAAAACTGAGAAATACAAGATACCCCATTTTTTGGCCAAGCCCTTATTTTGTGCAAAGTATTGTAAAGGTCAGTCACTAAATCTGCTCCTCAGGAAGCTGGTTGCAACCTGCAGAAGATTTTATAATTAACTGATACCTAATATCTCTAGTTGTGAATTTAGGGGATGATGATGATGATGATGATGATGATGATGATGATGATGATGATGATTCTAATAATCAAGTATAAATCTTGTCCAGGTTGATGATCAGACACCATAGTCATTGTTTATACATAACGTAAAAAGCATACTGTACTTTGAACAAATAAATTTTATTGAATAATATTCAATGCCTTATTCAAATGTATATCATAGCTAGCTAATTTGACCCAGAATGACTCCAACACAAATACCCTTAAAATATTTTGAAACCAAAGATAAATATTCAGATAAATCAGGGGTGAAATGAGCACGATTCATGCAAAATCTCAATAAATACAGATGATTTAAAGAGTTAACAATTCTCAAGATTCAGTACATATAAATGGGAAACCATCTCATGAACTATGTATGTCACTCTACCACAGAAATTCCAGAAGTTTAGCAAAACAGCTCAAGAAAAACAAAAGATGCAAACACTCCATTTTCAACCATTCTTTACAATGGAAAGGGATGATACAGATCCTGGTTAAGAATCTGCATTGAACATATTATACTGCAAAAAAACCATACATTCCCACCTGTATGTAACTCATTCAAACACATTTTATGTAACACAATTACTATTCACTATTACACCACTACAAAATATAAAAAGAAAGGAAATAGATACAAGGAGAACCAAAGTAATGTTAGTGGATCATAAAATACAAGTAGTAGTTTAAAAAAACCTTTTATGTGAACCTACGTTAAACAAGATATTTGATGTGAACATTATCCTTCAGATTATTTTCTCGTCCTGTTTTAAGAACCTTGGAATATTATTATACATGTATACGGATTTTGGAGAGAAAATTCTAAACCAAACATGGTAGAATATATTTAAGTAGTAGATCATATCAACATTACGAAGAATGTTTATGCAATGGATTCAACCAACCACCAGTAAATGAATTCCTTAACATTTTGAATTTCACTGAATTCCTTTCCTCTCCCCCATATACACGATATCCGATAATATGAATCACGCTTTAACTGAAATTGTCAAACACACTTTTTCTTTTCCTTTCCCCTTTTATATTCAGATACCAAGAATTCTAGGCATTAATAAATATCTTACCTAATGCTACACGACACATTTTAGGATCCCTATTTTTCAGATGAGATAAACACATGGCAAGAAAATAATGCCAATTCTGCAAGAAAAAGGTTTTTTGGCTAACACATAGAAGGCATGTAACAAGAGGAAACAACGCCAATCTGTGTTTTGACTTCGTGCACATATCCAGAGTTTGTGAATACAACATTTCCACAAAGTTTTTTAAACAGGGAACATTTACTTCATTCTTGACAGTCTGAAACAAAACAAATAATCAGATGATGTAAATGATATTCCTCTTAAAGTACCATGATTGTGATTGATTCCGTGTACTTGACAGAAAAGTTTTGGATTGTGAAATACTATGTACTTATGACACAAAACAAAAATCAAAATCGTGAAAATACCACCAAACTAGTATTCATCTAATTAAAAACAGATAAGATAATAAAAGACAATAAGAAAATTAAAAGAGATAAAATAAAGAAATTCTATAACAGTAAGTGAATAAATTCATTTACAAATGTGCATGATTCTTGATCTTTTACATTACAAAAGAACCTACTGCAGCAACAGGAACAAGAATTTCCACAAAAAGACCAGCCAAAGCATGTTTAATATCCTTATCCTTCACTTCCAGAAAATACTGAGCGCACTCTTGCATGAATTGAAACGAAGCTTCAAATTCTTCAATTGGCACCATCTGTAACACAAAACAATTTCTAATTAACTGGAAATAATTATCAAATATTTCAAAAGATTCAAGACATTTCCCTTGTTATTTCTGTTCATGAATTTAGCTGCTTTTTCTACACCCTGTTTAACGCTTTAATCTGACCTTCCCTAAGAGGATCCCAGCAAGTCACACTGTATTCCAATACGGAACAAACCAAAGATAAGTAAGCCTGCATCTTCATGTTACTGTTACCATTCCGTAATATACACGTAGCAAAACAAAAAGCTTTCCAAACCTGTGTAGTATATCTTACATGAAGAGTCCAGCTAAAGTTGTTTCGAATTATTAGGCGCAGATATTTACAACAATGTGTCTAACGAATTTTATTTCTACCTATTGAATAGTAGAGTGTTTCATGTGTTCAAGCATCCATGAAAGTAATTGTTTCATTGTTATCTGGAATAACTTTCATTCCATTTCCCTGGGACCATTTTGTCAATTCACATATCTCTTGTAACTGATCAATGTCACATTTGCCTCTAATTTTTTGATATACAATGCAGCCATCATCAAACAGGCTGATAGTCGATCAAATTTTGGTACCGATATCATTAACATACTAAAAAGTAGAAAAAAAAGCGACCCTAACATGCTTCCCTGAGGGACGCCAGCCATCACCTAAACCTGGAAAGAAAGTTGAATAGAAAGTCATCAATTGGAACTCGCTGTGTCGGACCGCAGAGAAATTTCCTAATCCAGATGACTACCCGCACATCTTCCGATTCAATAATTCTTGCAGACTTTGACCTTATGACTATCCTACATATTTATAATTCTCATTATCATTTCATTGACAGAGTTATGTTCACTTTTAATGGTTAAATTCAACTATATACATGTAACTCAAAATGAAGTTTGTCAGCACATTCCTTTCATTACGATTGAGGGGCTATTTTTGTCCCTATCTTCAGGTACTCCGTCACGGAGTATAGTGATCTAAATAACCATTGTATAGGTCTGGGCATGTTGTGTGGAAGGCAGGAATGTTATGGTCCTTGTAGGTAGCAAGATAGCAAGAGAATTGATGGCTGAAGTAACCAGAACCTGTTTCTCCTGTGTCAGGAACAGATGATTCATACAGATATGGAACTACTGGTGTCGTGGGTATTCTTTGTGATGGGTTTGAAGGGCAGATTTGTCTTAGCTCGTCTTTAGATGAAGCACGCTTGGATATGTGATGATTTTTTAGATTGTAGTCCAGCAGGTGGTGGAAAAAATTGCTGATATGTGATTAGTAGTGCTAGTACTCAAGGAATGATTCCACATTTTGTATAGAAGATTTGAAAAGAGGCTAATGGTGTTATTTAAATCTATTGGTGTCTGTTGGTGGCTTGATGGTATCCTTCCCACCTGTGATTGTTGACATACTTGAAGCACTTCCAAAACCAAAGTTCTGATTTTTCTCTAAGCCCATGGAGGGGTTTGATTTGGACTTTTACTTCTACAGTGTCAATCAGGGTGGATTTTGTGGCCCCAGAGATTACCATTAAAGCTGTATTTCGTGCTAGGTTATGAGCCTCAGAAATATAATTGGCTGGCTGTGATTGTGACTTCACAGTTGTAGTTTCCCTGTGAGTTGTTGGTCTAAAGACTCCTAAACATTTAGAAACTTGGTTGTGATCCAAGTCGGGATCTTAGTGCAAAGTGTGAAAAGCAGATATGTAGCTTTTGTGATGATCACCGTCTCTGAGTTTCAACGTGCTTTGCCTAAAATTAAAGTTTTGACAATGCTTCAGTGAAGCACTCTTCTAAACAGTGATATTTCCGCAGATTGCCCATATACGTAAGTCGTGGACATAGAGAAAAGCCTGGGATAGCTCACTTAGAATTAAGATTGTTATTTATCATCAGTTTAAAAAGGGCACAACTTCTTAAGCCACCTTCGGGTAAGCCTTGGTTTTGAATTCAAAATTAAGTGATATAATTGGAGAATATTATTATGATTTGTTTCTGTGTCAAATGATTTGATCTATATGAGGAGATTTCCGGAAATTTTGTAGTTGGCTAGATTGTAAATATTCATACAAGTACAACACTATACAGTATCTTTAAAGGATTGATGAGGTTGACATTTTCCTATAGAATCTACCTTTTACATGATGTGAAGTGATTAACCACGCTTCTGTTGATTTTCATAGTTACAAAAAGGCATATTATTAAATTAATTTAGCCTTTTGGAAATCAAAAATGTTTTGTTACCATTTTTAACATTTTCTAATTTTAATTAATTAAAAACTAAATTTTAATAAATCAGCTATTCTTTCTTTTGATTGATATGCAGTATTTTTATTGATATGTGATGTGTGTGTATCAGCTTCCACTCTTGCCATTGCGAATAAATAAACAAATAATGATTAATTTTCAATCCTTATTTAGCCTGCATTGAATTTCATAAACTGGCAAACCTTACCTGAAATCAAAGGCAGACAAAACTCCACTGTTAAAAAACAAATTTTTTAAACAAGAAGAAATTTTTAAAGAAGGAATTTAGAAAACAAGTGATATGCTAATCTACTCAAAAAGGGTTCTATTTAAATATATATTATTTACAATTCCAGCTAACTTCTTTAAGAATACATACCTTCACCCGAAAAAATTTCATTCCCATTAGCAATGAAATTATACTTTGTGTGGAGTGTGGACTAGGCTCCTTGCTTTTGAGTTCTTTAAGCTCACATGTGAATCTCTTGCGTACAGACAGGAAACGAGATTGAGCAAGAGTACCAATAACTTCCGCATAAAGATCTGCTATAATATGAATATTAGCTGCATTTGGGCTACTCTGAATTCTGAAAGGACAAAGTAAAATGAAATATAAAAAAAGGAGTAAAGTTTCTACACCATTATTTACATTATGCTAAAGGTCTTAAAAAAATGGACTAATTACAATTTAAAAAATTGATACTATTGACATCCTTTCACACACAATAAAGGTTTATATGGGAGAGAATTGTATTTAGTTCAACAATCAATATGCAAATTTCTAAAACCTATACTAAGCATTCAAATATAGTAATTTTCAACATATTTTTTAAATATTTTTACAACTTTAAAAAGTATCTGGCATCACTGATCATAACATTTTGCTTTTAAAATTACCTTTTCAAAGAATCTTGTGGCATTGGGTATTGTCATTCCTTAAAAAACAATCTCAGAGATACACATAGCAATCAAGGAACATTTCCTCATCTTTCCTATTCATTGCAAATTGAACAGGTGCCACAGGGTTTTATTTTAGGCCGTTCTCTTCCTTCCTTTCCGATGTAAATGATAAGACCTTGCCTGTTAGAAGTGGAAGAACAGTTCTCTTCACTTCTTACAAATACTGTTTGCAAACTAGATGTGTTACAATAGCACACCTATGTGCAGTTTCTAATGCTATGCAATAATTGTAATAATACATGAACCTGCAAAAGTGTTTCTAACCAGCTAACCGGTTTTCCGGTAAGGGGTCGACAGCGTGAATTATAAGATATCGAAAATCTGATATTTTCTTAGTGCCAAATTCAAACGCAAAAAGTATTTTTTTTTTTAAATCATCCTTAGAACACTGGAACAGGCACGAAAAATCTCAAAACTTCCTCTCAAAACGCAGATTGTTATGAATTTTTTTCAGATTTTTTCAATTGCTGGGCTGAAGTAAAAAAAATAAAAAGCTATTCTTCCTGAGCACTGCAACTTAAGTGATCACTCACAGCGAATCTCAGGAATCAGGGTAGGTGTCGGGGCTTGGAAGATATAATTTTGAAGGGCGTCATCTGAGTAGATTTCTTTGGCATTTTTTAAATATTTGGTGAGAATTATTATTTTCTCACCTGGCAGAGGCGATGTCTCCTCAGAAAGTGTACAGTAGACACTTGGCAACAGAAGTGTGCTACTGGGGGAGTAAGAGGTAAAGTTTGGCAATTTGGTTTCCCCATTTTGGTCACAGCACTGGAGAATGAATGAGTGAGATCAACTGGGTTCTTCACCAGGTATCATCATTTTGAATCGCTAAAGGACACTTTCTCCGTCACCCAGATCATTTGAATCCAACTCTCCCTCAGAAAGTTAAAGCATATTAGAATTAGCCGCATGGTTTCCTTCACAGTTCACATTGTGAAGTGATGTTGGCCTTTTTGCCATGCATCGTTGTTGTGTATGGCCAAACCTCTGACTCTTGAAGCAGTGCAAATGGATAGGCATATACTGTCACACGCCAAGATCAAAGAACTCTTTCTCATGCTCCTTGCTCTTGATCCCGAACACTTTGATGATGCCCTAACTGTTAAAAACATACAAGTTCCTCTTCAAATATAGGTTGAAAGTCATGATTGACAACTCCCTACAAAGGTTAATGGTGGGGTGGATGATCACTTCCACATGGAGGTCAGCAATATGCTTAGTTGTAAGGATATTCTGTATTTGCTCGTCAGTACATGCTTTAAAGAGAACGGTACCTAAAGAGAATTCCTTTGTTCAATGACTGCTTGGAGCTTAGCAAATGAGTCCTCTATGGCTTGCGCATTAACTGCAATGACACTAATAAATGTTTGTCCTTCCTTGGCGCATGTCATAAGAAGGAAACGTGGCTTGTTTGGTCTGTTGTCTTTGAGAAAGAAACTATTGAAGACAACTATTCTCTCAAAATCATCACCTCTTCCTTCCGCAAGAGGGCAACGGGTTGGTCTTATGCTCCATAAGAGGAAAGCGGTTTTATCTCTGTGCTCCTCACTCATCATGAAGTCCAACAAGGGGACAGCCCACCGAGTTTCCACAGTTGACCGGAGATATAGTGGGGGGATGATGAGCACTGCCCTGCAGTAGTTCCGCCCTGTGATCATGGAGTTCAGTCGAAATTGAGGTGAAAAAAGTGTATTGGGACCTAAAAGTGCAGAGACCTTCCCACAGTCACCAGGGTTCACTGGTGTTCACACAACAAACATGTAGAAAATGGGTTTACCCAAAGGGAACCACGGCGACAGTCGGGAATACATACACAGACCCCTCCACTTCCAGGTCATGCATTCCCTTTGACACGGGTTGCCATGCATGACAAACACATGGGTGGGTGCTCAGCATACAGAGACAAACACAGAGGAAGTCAGGGTCGATAAAAAAAAATGTCGGTGACATATGAAATGAAAAATAAGACGATGAAAGATGGAGAAAGAAACACATGAGAGCTTTCTCTCCATCCTCTCTCTTGTCTCCGTTGTCACAACAAGGACAAAGTCACCTCAACAGGTTGCGAACTTTTTGGCATGCATAGAAGCCGTTCTAAAATACAACGCACTAGCCACGGCATTGTCGATGGCAGTCATCAGGGTGAAGGGAAGTGAGCCTTAGAATTGATCCCTGAGTAATACAGTTGTCTAGTATGTTACTGCTGGATACCTTATCACCTAGGAGTAGATGAAACAATCTATTGGACAAAAGCTTCTGAAGAGCAAGGGCCGCCCCCCTAATACTCAACGAATATAATGTACGCACAATGCCATGCTTCTAGGTAGTGTCATAAGATTTTTCAATGTTGAAGAAGGCTACTAAATGTTGCCTCAACGCAAGAGGAATCTGGGATGCTAACGTGGCTAATTGGTCCTGGGTTTGTTGGTGCATTCTCAATCCCCATGGAAATGCTTGATTCTATGTACCAAACTTGCCGAAGGGTTACCATACGTTCGAAAATTTTACAGACAAAATTAGTAATGGAAGTTGGTCAATTACTTCATGGCAGTGATCAGTTCATTCCTTCATTAGAAAACGGGATGATCACTGCATCCCACCATATTTTGAGAATGGACTATTCGTACTAGATTCCATTAAAAAGACAAATGTGGAATTGTTTACCTTGTACTGGCAGAAGTTTTAACATTAAGTTTTGTATTTAGTCTGGTTCAGAGGAGGTGATTTTGAATAGCATTATTACGAAAGAAAACTTGTCCATAGAGAATACGGCATAGTAGCTTTCTTAAGCATCACTTGAAAAGTCAAGGATAGTGTTCTCCATTCTACATTTGGCACAAAGGAACGATAGTAGTGTAGTATGATGAGATCAAAATCGTCACATAATGAAAGGCAACCACCTAGGTTACTTTTTGGAGATGTTTGCAGTTGTCCACCCACTAAAAGCTCGGGAAGTGCCAATGAAGCGAGGGTTCCTTTAATTTTCCGTTTTCTTTTTCATCCAGTCAGCATTTGGAGGGGTGTGGTATGTAAGAAGAGATAATTAGGCTCCCCAAGAAGTGGACTTTCTTTCGTGTATGATTCTTCTCACTCGAGCTTGTCACTGTTTTCTTTGAGGTTTTCATCGATAGGATAACGGTTCAACTTGGCTGCTGCCGTCTTCCAGACCCTAGTCACATTCACACAATCCGAGTTCCACCATGGTACTTGGGGGCATCTCAGACTATCAGAAATTATAGAAATGGTAACTGTGTAAGCGACGAATACAGCTTTGGTGAAATGAGAGGTCATTGTATCGATGTTCTCAAAAGGTCCGTCACTCAGGCCTAACTCTGAACAGTCCACTCATTGAAATATCCAATGAGGGGGTAGAGCGGGAGATGGAATGCAAATACTGATATGCAACGGGGTTGAGTAATGTTCACTCCCATATAAATCCACAAGGGTGCCACTGCGACATCAAGGTGACACCGCCATTAGCCTCACCATCAAATCTATAACTATGAAAATGTCAGGAATAAAGCATGTCTGTATAAAAACATTTGCTGCAGACACAATGGAGAGGGAAATAGCACATTACTACTGGTCTGAGGGCTTTCTATTGTGCGTGCACAAATTAAGCATTCCTCAATAGGAGATCCATTGAAATTTTTGTGTCTTGTACCTTTCTTCGCCCGTTGTTCATTCAAAATGGCAGGGTGGTTGGCACAGCCAGGGGCCTCCTCCGCAGCTGAATCCTCATGAACGCTTGACATGTCAGAGGACACACGTGAATGACCATCGCTTTTAGTGCGAGTTGTGTTGTTTTTAGTGGGGTGGCCTGTTTGGCACGAAGTAATGGTGGTCTGCCAACAGAAGCTTCCAGAGCAGAATTGTCCCGGGAGTGTCGACGTTGTGGCAAACAAACATTTTTGCTAGGACAACTTTTTGGCATTCGTGTACTTTAAGGGATTAAGCAGGCAGTGAGGCATAACCTTAATACTTCTTGAAACAGATCCCATATGGAGGTTCAAAGGGAGCACCAGGCACTTTGGGTTGGCCATCAAAGGGGCAGCAAGCTCCATTGGGATGCTCACTCCCTTCTTCGGCTAACTTGGCGCAGTCAGAAAAGTTTGCGACATATTCACGAGGCGATTTACTTGGCATCTCCTCCTTGCTTCCTGAAATGAAATAATTAGTCACATCGATTTCCTGAATTTTCCTCCCCTTGGTAATGATTGGTAACTAATACGATTTTCCTGCATGATTAACATAACAGATATCGGCAAGGGGTGATGACCACGGTGTGTCCCCGTGCGATGCTTTACCACACCTGAGGAATAGGGGATTGTCTGGCATGCAGTAGAGGTTTGGCACTAATGGGCACACCCAAAAAGTAAGTATCAGAGTGCAAGTTAGGATATTTCCCCCTTTTTTCCGCTCGATCTTGTTCATTTCTTATATTCCCTCTGTTTTGAAGAATGACTTTAATTAATTTTCATTTTATGTCGCAAAATCCGCAGGATTCCTTTGGTCAAACAAACTAGGGTGGATGCCAACCTTAAAATGAAGAAGGCAATCTCTCTAGTTTTCTAGTGTTTGTTCAACCCACCACGGGTTCAAACAAGGGGACACCCCACTGGGATGTTAGGGTTGCCACAGGGATATAACAGGGAGGACCAAGGCTCCATTCCCGCCTCACACTAGCAGGTGGACACTAGGACACCCACCAACTCACCCTGGAGTTCAGTCACAGACTTAGTACAAAACTATTGATCGGGAGCAAGTTAGCTCCCAACTTCCCGTCTAGAAGAGGCCGAAGCCAAAGGAAGCATTCTGGGATAAACACTACGTACTTATGCACAGTCACTAAGTCTCTCCATGGTTCGCATCACAAACAAGAGTTACACGGAGACAACCTCAAGCTTCCAGCATCTTGTCCAATCACCTGCGACCTCTACTTTGCAAGAACTCTTTCAAGAGATATTGGAAACTGAGTTTTTACTATGTAAGAGTTATTGATGTCTCCAGCAAACATATTAAAAAAATAATCTGGAGAATTTTCTGAGAAAATTTTCACAATATTCTAGGGGCATATTATATGAATTACCCATGAAGTAAAGTAGTAAAGTAGCCTCTAAAAGTATGAAAAAAGTAGGGTATGCAAATTGATCTGAAAATAAATTGTTTGAATTTGTTCACACTTTCAACTAATCTACGAGTCCCATTTCAATTAAATACATGCACATGATTTCTTACTGTTATTTTTATTTAAACATTTTCAATTTCTTCCCTAGTATAACAATGCCAAATAAAATATTAAGAATGTACCTGGCGATCACAACCTTCATATGAAAATAAAACAAAAATATATTGATCCTTCTTACCCTTCTCGATACTTGAAGTGTCGAAAAGCCAAATTCTCCACATGATTAACTAGATCATCCTGTCCTGGGTGGAACGGTAGTTGTTTCAGAACTTCAATAAGCATCAGGCAAAAAATGAACTCCACAGCAAGATCACAACGCTCTAATAAAGAATCAGCTTCACTGCGTTCAGTGGATTCAATGCTGAAATATAAAAGCAAAACATTACGCACTTTAAAAGACAAAATATAGACTCAATAACAGAGTTTAGATCAACAGCCTGTCACAGTATGAATTTAAACAAACTTAAATTTTATCTACTGAGATAATTACAATTCTTGTTCTACAAATGCATTGAGAACGTCTCTCCGCAGTCAATGTTGACCTTTTATACAAATATATAAACGTTGCATAGAGATGTGTGGAAACCCTGTTTTGTGATCCTCAACATCTAGGGCATCCGTGGAAACAAGGGTTGCCACTGAGGCCACATGGAATACTTTAAAGTCAATTTTTGGAAGATTGATTCAAAGAGGAGGGTACTATTGCCTATCCACTGTGACTTGCTTGTTCTCTCCGTCTTCCAAGCAGATATTTTCGTCATATTTTTGGATAATTAATAACGGGATAATATTACATAACAGGATTAATGTGTCTAGTTAACAGAGACCCTTTTCTGTTTTCTGTATGCAGGATTTTCAGTACAATCACTTGCTTTATCTATTTAGTAGGGGCGTGCGGTAATTACTCCAGCTGCTAGCGGCCAACCAGCTTCCCCCCCTTCTATTCCAATTTTTTCGTTATCTGCTGTAATTGTGCCAATGCTGTTGTTGGCCTACCATTTTCAATGGCGTGATCCATCTTGTGGAACTATCTCGTTGAAAATAGTCTTCTCAAAATATAATCAATTATACACTCACTGGAAGACATACTACACAGAATTATTTCTTTAACTCATTACACAAAGCATTTTTACTACACTACAAAGTTACTACAAAACCTCATGAAACAACAAGTAAACACGACAATACGTCACAAACACTATAATGGATCACCATAGCGTAACACCCTGACACACACATTGATTCTCTAAGAAGAATACACTATGCTATTCACAAATTCAAGGATTCTAGGGATCTGATCACATGAGAATCAGAACTTCCTATCTCAGAAAAATTAATCAAGTCTCTCTTGAGCATTCTGGTTTACTCTCATTACATTTAGGGAGAAATACATGCCCAATAATCATTTTATACGTTATAAACTTCTCAACAAATGGTACGTTAATTTATACTAACAAAACATTTCATTTAAAATAATTTTGCATTGTGGTAGCACAGGCTTATGAGTAATCACGTTCACAGACAGGACGAGCCAGGTGAGGCCTGGCCTTGAAGCAGTGAGAGGGGGAGAAACATCATCCATCCCCAGCTAGCTAGAGTTCAGTGCATTATTGGCAATGGCTTCTTCCCAATCGCCTGCCTCTGGCCCAGAGAGTAGACACGCGCACAACACCCAGGCCCAGCGAAGATGTCACAGCTAGTATTAGAGCATTGCAGAAGCAGTAAGCCGCTGCACAGATAGCAGTAGAGTGAACAGTGGGTGCAATATTTTTTATCATGTGACATACGGTTCATTGTAATTTTTATTCTCAAAATTCATCAAATTCTCATTTTAGCTTAACTCCATTACTGCTGGGATGCTGGGGTTGAGTGCATGCCACTGCTATTTAGTTAATGTCAAAAACCGTTGACACGGACCGTGAGTATGAGACGGACTGATTTGGATGTTGCAACCCCACCTAACTAAAAACTCATGTTGAGAGATCTCTGGAAGCAATTCTTCAAAATTTACAAACAAATGTGATCTTAAGGTTAGACTAATTTAATAATTATCAAATATTTTTTAAAATATTAAATCCCAACTTTTTCCTACAGATGACTTTAACAAATACTTTTACAAACACATTGTATGATATTTTTTAAAAAATTTAAAACCTATATTCTGGAATTCGGGGAACATCTTGGGTAGAGTCCTTAAATAAATGCTTATATTGGTTGTGGATTAATTCCGCTCTGTTGTCATTCAGTAGGGAGAAGTACTAGTTATTGTCGGATATACACAGCGAATACTAGCTTGATTTGGAACTGAAATTGTGATTCAGTGTGTTGCAACAAGCCACTCACAGAGTGAAGTGAGAGAGAGATGAAGGAAGGAACCGATGACTAAAATATTTTCAAGCCCTCTCACTATGCCCTTTCTGAACAAAACTGAGTGGAGTGGAGTGGAGTGGAGTGGAGTGGAGTGGAGTGGAGTGGAGTGGAGTGGAGTGGAGTGGAGCAGCCACTGTGGAGAAACATTTGGAACGCTCAGTGTAACGGCTAAAATACATTACAATATTAAACCCTTTATATCTTGGTGACATTTCAACAATGCATAAAAAAGTACTTTGCTTCAGACATCAGTAGCAAAATCATTAACGTTTCCATATGCTTACATTTTGCCTTTCAGGTCCACTTTCTTTTGTTCAATGCTGCAACCATCTTTAATTTGTCTGTCATACCATGCAAACAGTGATCGAAGAATAGACGGCAAGCAATGTTCGGCCATGGATCCAAATGCAGTTAACAGCTGGTCAAATTGTGCATCCTCTCCTCTTTGAAGTATTTTAGAAATTGGTTTTTCCTGTTGAATCAGAAATACAAGTTAAAAATCCATTGACATTCATGCAAATTAATCACTATAAGTTATTTCTGTTGCAAGGAGAGATGATCTACTTAATCTATTTTAAGATACGGTGTCGGAAAGCCTGATGAATTAGTTGCTCCCTAATTGCTGTCACATAAGTCCTGTTTGAAAATGATCCTGGCTGGACATTATTTCAAAGGTTGTAGAGTAAAAAGTTCAAGACTGATTTCAGAGAGATGTAACATTTACAGTGGAATGTTAATTACTTTAAACATAAAAAGTACAATGAGAAATAAGTAAATAGCAAGTATACATGGCTTTATAATTCACAAATGGTTTAACATCTTGAATATGCTAATAAGGATAATTTGATAGGTTATTATAAAACATATAATGAAATGGTCTTATCCATCTGGCTCTGAAACAAGAAGAATCAAAAGAAAGAAATGCATTGAAGAAGAAACTTGAAGGCAAACAATTGGTAGTTTTATAATGAAAAAGTAGATTTCTGATCAATCAAATGTCCCACAATCTAGAACAAATAATGTAGGGGAAGATATTGTACCATGGAACAAGTTGCATTCCACTGACATCAAGTAGATATCAAGCCAACAGTCATGTTGTATGCCTCTAGAAAACAGATTAGAAATCCTGGTGGTGCTACCACAAGTTTTGTTTATGCTGTTTAGAAAAATAAAAATCTACTTGTGGCAAGTAAATGATTTGTTATTATCTTCTCAAATTATTATGTTTTTATTACTCTTGTTTGTGTTTTGTTAATGTTATATGTTTTGTTAAGGTTAAAGTGTGAATTATAACTTTGAAATGCACTTTATATGGTGGTAGTATTAGTTCTTTTCGACATTTTTTCACACTGACACACTTGGTTTTAAAAGACAATCGCTGATCCAGTTCATTATATTTGCAGGAGTATTTGTTTCCCTGTACTATGCCTCACAGCAAAGAGGGCAAGACTCAGAAGAAGGTCTACCCAAGAGCTTTGGAGAGTGCTGTAAATGAAATATTGGAAGGAAAGCTGAGAGTAAATGAGGCTGCAGAGAAATAGGATTTATGGGTTGTATGTGGCATGTATACTAATGAAAACATATAAGGACGATGAATTTCTGGCATTGTATGTAACAGATTGTCATATAGTCGATCAAAACAAAGTTACAGGCAAAGACCAGTCTGAGGAAATATTAAGAAATGTACAGAAGATTAACACAACTTCTCTTGAAGCATGTCTTCTTAATGCTCAAAAGTACATACACAGTCTGCTTCAAATTGTAAGCAAACAGGTTATCTTATTACACAAATGATTCTGTCATATCCCAAAGTTTCCCCCAAACACAAAGCTAGTAAAGAAGAGGTAGAATTCTAAAAGTCACAGGTGAAAAGAGGAGACAAACGCCTAAAAAATTGAGACAACTGGTTCCTGCTAAGATAAAAATGTATGTTATAAAGAAAAAAGGAATTTTTAGTAAAAATGTTGGCTCTGTAAACAAACAAATGACCTTAATGTTGTCCTATAAATATTATGATATGAACTCGTCTAAAAATTTTTTTACAGAAATAAAAAGGAATTCAGTTGGATCATGAAATAGAAACTGCAGTTAAAGAAAGGAATTATATTTTACAAGTAGGTAGTAAAAACGTTTTTATGACTTAAAAGGGGAAGTAATACTTTTGTTTAACAAAAGTATTAAGAAAATGAGATTTAAGAAAATGTGTGAAGTTGATAATGAAGAAATTAATTTGCAAACTGCCATCACGAACCATTGCAGAAAAATCAGAGTGTCAGATGTACATATTCTGACCTCTGCTGTTAAGTTCAGTGCTTACGAAATGCCTATGGACTAAGACTTTACTGTGTGCACTTGATTAAATAAAATAAACTCACCTTTTCATTTAATTTGTACAATTTCTTAATTCATTAGGAAAACACAGATAATATATTCTTTAAGTTCTAAACTCTAAAACTATGAATATATTTAGTTATTAATGGAGTTCTAAAATAAATTCGTTCTTTCTCCTTGACATAAGAGTATATTTTACATTTGTTCGCCAGTCTCAAGGTACACTGGTTATCCCAAGGTATAACATGGTGTTGTGGTTTGGGTTACTTGCACAGGTGTGCAAAAAATGTAATATCCATTTTATTTAAGTTATGATAAATTTGAAAAACTGTAGTGTATTTCTTAAATTGTTGCCTTTAATAGATCATGAATTATACAACTTCAAAATTTGTCCTACATGTAAAAAATATGTTTCCTTACCAACAAAAGTTTCCTTACCAACAAAAATAGTGCAAACGAAAAATTGGAAAGTATATATTAATGTTTAAAATGAAATAAGTTTCTTACATCATCATCATCATCATCATTATTATTATATACACTGAGATGAATGATAGTTACATAACAACTTCATCATAGATAAACAATCAAAATTCTAATTCAATAAAAACTAGTGATGCTAATACAGCACATACTTTTTAGCAAAATTCTGGGAAAAGTACTTAAATTTTCAAAAACATGTCTATAATCTTATTTCAAAATCTATCTTTACGGAATAGATTTCATGAAGAGAAAAAATACCTAACTTCATAATTGTAGTTGTACGACGACGCCAAAACAAATTTTAAATTAAGAGTTTTCAACGAAAATGAGACCTTTGATGATTGAAAATGATTTTCTTAAATGTCCTAAACACTATCCAACAACAAAATTTTATCAAAAATAAGGGAGCCCTTTTTTGAAAATTTTTAAAATGTCCAAGGGGCTTCATTTAAAGTATTCCCCAAAATAAAAATATCAGTTTCAAATTCAAGGGGCCACGACATCAACCAGATCGATTGGAGTATATCAATTTGGAGAAAATACAGTGTTTTATTCAACAAGATTGCAGATGTCCTGGACATACATTATGTGATCAAAACGGATCTGGACATGTCCAAAACGGTGTTATGGTGTGGTCGTGATTTTCATGGAGGGGGCTATCACCACTTGTTTTGTGTGGCACTATCATGGCACAGAGCTATGTTAATGTTTTAAACATCTTGCTTCCCACTATTGAAGAGCAATTCAGGGATGGCAATTGCATCTTTTAACATGATCGAGCACCTCTTCATTCTGCATGGCCTGTGATGGAGTGGTTACACAACAATAACATCCCTGTAAAGGCCTGGCCTGCACAGTTCTGCACAGTTCTAGGGGTGGGCCAACACCCTATTTAATTCCAGCATTAAAGATGGAGGGCGCCACAAACTGGTAAGTCATATTTAGCCACACGTCCAGATACTTTTGATCACATAGTGTATATACTGCCTTAATGACCAGAAACATGTACAGGTTTGCTAAGTCCTCTTTGTTTTATCAATTACACAATTGGATTATCGAAGAATGCATAATTTCTATGCAAATACTTCAAAATTCAGGGAAATAATATGCAACTATTACTCATTAATATTTGTGTAGGGAATAAAAATACACTGAGGGACAAAATTCATAGGATAGCAATATGCAAATATACAGATGGTAGTAGTATCACATACAAAAGATATAAAAGGCCAAAGTTTTCATTTGTATTCAAGTGATTCATGTGAAAAGGTGTCTGATGTGATTTACAGGATTTAACAGATTTTCAATATGGAATAGTAATTCGACCTAGACGCATGGGACATTTTCATTTTGGAAATCCTTAAAAATAGTGTAGCAATTCAGATAGCGAGATGACAGAAGCTATTATATACCAGAGGTTCTGCCATGACAGCTTCCATTTTCCTCTCGGTCTGTACAGTAAAATCAGCAAAGAGAGTTCTCATTACAAACTCTCCAGGTCGTATGTTCATGTCAATATTGACACATGCAGGGTACGGAGACCGTTCTTTGTGTGCACCCCACGGCAGAACTGTTCCACTACTGGCATTACTACACTGATTGACTTCACCTGAAACATAAAATAAAATTGTTTTGTATGAAGGCTTCTTCAAAACAAAACAAAAAATCAAATTTTAGCCTTACAATAAAATATATAAAAGTTCCTTCAAATTTTCAGTTTAAAACGCATTCACTTCCAGCAAAATTTACTTCACAGTAGGTCTGTTTCTTCGATAAAGTAAATGGAACAAAGATCTTAATATTTGAAAACTTTGCACTTGCATTATGCGATTGGGCATGTTGTTTGAGAGATTCAGAATCTATCAGGATTTTTAAAGTTGTAAACAAAAAACAAAATTACCCAGAAATTAAGAGAGCAGTAAATTTGTGTAAATTGGATGGGTTTTTTTATTTGTGTTAATTTTTCTTTCTGAACAAATAAATTCATTGCTTTTGTAAATAATAAAAAATTTCCATGTTTCTGGATTGTTTCTATGATTTTGCAATTCATAGTAAGTATTATTTCAAACCAACTTTTGTGTGCTAATTGCGGCTCAACCATTCGGAATATCCCTTGAGTTTATTTCACAACATATGTTTAAAATTGTCTTAAATGCTTTTTTTCAAAGTTTCGATGTTTCCTCCCCGGACACTGTGTGAGTGAGTGCGTGTGCGAGTGCGTGTGCGAGTGCGTGTGCGAGTGCGTGTGCGAGTGCGTGTGCGAGTGCGT